ATCATATTCGTCTCGTTGTATGGACATTGCAGAATTTTGGCATTGGATAACAGTGGTAAAAAAGCATTATCATCGTTCGAGAAAAAAACTCGTGAGAAGATCCATGGTCTTGTATACATACATATATACAGTTATCATTGAATTAGATGGAATAATGAGCTCTTTAAGCTATACTAAAACACTGACATAGTTGAGTATTTAAAAGCAGTGGCTTCATTGACTTGATCATAATTCGGCTACTACCATATTTTATCCCGCCAGTTGAACACATAGTAAAGGATTTTGACATTTTTAATCAAAGAATGAGATGACGCAGGAGTAGAAGTTACTCGGTACAACCAACCGATAACAAAAAACAGCTGATCGGGCTGATTGACTAAGTCTGCTAAATATGAGTAAGAATAATACTCGTCTGTATTAACTAATTACGTAAAAAGTAAAAATTCAGCAAGTTCGGTAATTATGTTGTCTTCAGAGAAGTAGCTGCCACTTTCGCTTCCAAGTAGCTGCCATCTCTCCTTCCAAGAAAGCAATCTTTGAGTGCAGCATTTGTTTTTAATGTAAAATTGAAACTTCAAAATGGAGTTTTTAAAATATTTGAGATTAATTTTTTTTGACATTAAAGGCGTTTAATAACATATCAATTAAAAAATGAATTATTTATTTGTTTAAACAATTTATTTTATTTTTTTTGGGTACATTTGAAACAGTCCATTTGAACTGTAATCAACATTAAAGTGTTTGTAAGTTTTTAATTAATAGAAGTACTGTGTACACTCTTTTTCTTATACCTTACAGTTCCATTGGGCGACGCACTCATACATACCTCAAATAGACTCCGATTTAGAAAAATATGTTTAGCTACTATGTGGCTGCAGAATTACACAAAATTGACTGTCTTTTCTCTATAATATAAGTTTCATTACATGTGAATATTCCACTGACTAAACAAAATTAGCGGACCCAACCGCATATGAGGAACTCTCGAATATACGTATGTCAGCAAGCGTCTACAGTCAATTAGGAAAAAACAACTCTTTAGACTATACTGATTTTCGCTATTCACTGCCAACAATGAAGCATACTCACCAGATATTGAAAATTGTGGGTCAGAAAAACAAATAAATCATTATACCAATCTATTTTCAGATGTCCAGTACTTGCAAAAACGTGTATTTCCACTATAGGTTCTTATGACCCTTAATGTTTAACCAATATTTTCAGTCTGTATATCAGGGATGTTGCTAACTTTCTTAAAACGACACTGTAGTTTCCTTGAGAAAAAGGGATATCCGTACCGATAAATCTTATTGTCAGCTAGTGATTTAAAACTAAAACTATTCCATTTTTTGTGGTCTAAGTGATCCCATCTTCCATTGGATATATATGTAAAATTTCTAGAAAATTTATGACGAAAAAGGATTGCCAAACAATGTTAATAACATATTAATTTATTAAACATCTAGGCATAATTTTTTTTAGAATTGCTGTATCCGTCTGTGATATTGGTTGGTTGGTTCGAAAAGTTCTAAAAGCTTTGAATGGTTGTTGGTTTAGCTAAAAAAGTTCTTTAACTTCTTATTTACCATTGTACATCGCTGAATGCAAATTTTTCTGCAATTTGTCCTCTCATGACCTTGATTATGCATGCTGACGTAGAAACATTTTATGGATTATTAATTATATCACTGTGCTCTACGATGTATTCTGCGAATTTTGGATACTTGGTGAGACAGCTTCTGCTTTGTACATTTCTCATAGGGATACATTTTTTTTATATAAATACTTAGTAAAATATGGTAATTAAGGAATATTTATATATGCCATTAAACGAGCATATATACTTTTATGCATATATTAAGAAAAAAATTTTATATATGGGTGTAAGTCTTATAATAGTTACATTTATATATATTAATATAAACATACCAAATAAATATTAACACATAAAAAATTTTAGTTTTTATACTACCATAGATAAATTTGTTGTTTATTAGTTCATCAGTCTTTCCTTACTTAGTCCTCCATGGTACCAACTTTCAAGAATTTATTAGACAGTTTTAGTTAAGTTAGGTTTGGAAATGTTTGGGGATATACTAACAAATTGTCCACAAATTTTTAGGATAAAATCAGATCCAATGTCATGAAATAAGGTCTTGAGTATGAGAACTATCCTACACATGAAACCAACCTTCATCATCCATATCTGTTGGGTTAATACATTATTTACGTGATGTTTAAACCTATTATTACTATTAATTATTTCTTTCTTTAAAAGTTATAGGAATTGCTTAAAGCGTGACACGTTAAATTAATCTCAAATTGATGTTGGGGACACATAAGGTAGAAACGCATCCACAACATAATAAATGTTTGACAAAGTTTTCCAAGCATTCATCTAGACGGCGTCTAATCTCGTCGCATGCATACCTATCAAGCAATGACCAGTAATTACGAACGTGAGAAGATTAATCTGTTAATATTGTTAGACTTAACAGGGTAGTAGTTATATTGTGGCAGCTTCTTGTCTATATCTGCTTTGATATGCGAATAAGAGTATTTTAACTCATTCTACTACAATATAATTGAAATAACTTAAAGGTCTATTGGGATACAACTTAGTGAAGAAAGCGAATATTCTTTTCTGCAAAAACAATAGCCGCCATTGGATTTTGAATTCATAAAGCAACTTGAATCACTCAACCCAATACCATATTACATACTCTCTGCACATTAATATATATTTTATGCGAAAAAATTCTATAAACTGTGTACCAACACATTCCTGACATATATCGTTTTTGTATATAGACGTCTGAATAAGTTAAAATATATTGCAAGTATGTCCGTGCATTATGTTTTTACTAATGACTTCGGACATACACTTAAGGAAGGGAGCCCTTAAATTGAATATACGCCTATTGGCGAGTGCCGGGCATTGACAGAGTAATTGAGTGAAATTTTCTATTTCCTTCTATAATTCTTAGCTCTGACAGTAGTTGTTGGAAAGAGTCCGTATCCAGTCAATATATTTACCAAGACAAGATACTGACTTTATCTTGTTAGTATAGCAATAGTGTTACAAAGTTATGTGCACTCGCAAGATTAATCATTTCTTCCGTTATTTTCTATCGATGGCCATCTTATAAGTGTAATGTGTTAAGAGTCCATTTTGTAATAAGGATATTTACAATGTACGGCTTTAATACTTTAGTAAGTGAATCGAAGAAATTTTTGATATTTATACTTATATAATATACTATTTATATTTTTATCTATACTATTTAACAATTTATAACTATATTTTTGGGTCAGCAGTTAGTTTACATATTTATAAGAAGTAATTTATTACTATATAATATTAAAAAACATAATCATAGTACTTTTTTAGAAATTATTGTACATGTCGGATAATTCCACCCATTTGTTTTCATGTTGATTCGAAAATCAACACCTTCACTTAAAGAAAGCTATTATTCATGTTTGCATCCATCATAGAATACATTATTAACCAAAAAATTAAGAACCATTGGTCTCTTTTATTATGGAAAGCTGGCATAAAAAGAACGTGCCGTGAGCGCAATATAATTTTCTAGGTAAATATGAAAATTACTTCTTCAAGTTAAGAGTACTTGGAACTTGTAGTCTCAAAAAATTATTTACAGATAATTAAATATAAGAAATGATCCCTAAACCAATGATAATGTCAGTCAAAAAATCAATTACTTAGGAATTGAAAACAGTAGTTTATATTAAAAACTTAGTTTCTTTCGTCAAAACGGTTGTTAAAAATTAATCATTCTGTAATTGTAAAATCATAAACAAAGTGCAGAAAATAGTATGGTCCTTTAGTAATAAAAAGACTTGGAAGCATTTGTTTTTTTTCTTTTTGGAGATTTAGTATTTTTAATATAATTTACAGTGATAAACTATACATAATAAAACAAAAACGTTTCCGCTTTTCAACTTTAAGCCGTGTTTGCATAAACTACGACTTTAAGAACTTGTAAGTTAAATTAGGTCATGGTGATCTCATATATAATTAGTGAATAAAAGTTGTGGACACTATCAAACTTCTGTCATTGTGTAACAATTATATAACTTTAAAAACTCATACGTTATGTTAGATATGGAAGACGATCGCCTGTTGATACCCACCTAACCCAAATAGTTCGCTCTTCCTTAAACCATCTGAAATTAATATTCATAAAGTAATATACAAATATTATAATATTAACCTTGTCCTTTATTAATTATTGCAAATTGCAGCTTTTCATGTCAAGCAATTCCGATGTAAAATAAAAACATATTTATAAGCAGCCTCTTCAACTTTTCAATAACACTCTCTCCAAGTTGCTTTATTCTTTAGAAATAATATACTTTATATGTTTTTTTAAATTATTTCATATTTTATTATTTTTTTTAGAATTTAATTTTTTTTCTTAATTTAATAATTTGTTTAACTTTGGTTTTGTTTTGTTGTTTTAAGAAGAAGATTTAAATGCAAATATACACATACATAAATATGCACTTCAATATCGTAAAATAATTATATTTCAACAGAGCAATTAAATTTTTCTCTTTTATTTAAATATATTTATTTAATTATTTTAAACAGTCCATTTTTTAAATTTCTTGAATGATAACTTAATTAATTTTTTCTTCTTGTTTTAGTTTTAGTTTAATTTTTATTTTAATTTATGAGGTTCATTCTTGAGGTTTTTGTTTTCGCCAATTATTGCAACAACCTAAAAATAATTAATAAATATTTATTTATATTTTCAATACATAATAATATATACATATATATATATATATATATGTATGTATATAATTATAATTATATAATTACAATTATAATTAAATATTTGCATGTATACATATATATACATATATATATATATATATATATTTATGTATATTATACATATTGTGTTTAGTAGTTTTCTTTTTACTTATAATTTTAATTAATGAAATATTTTTTAATTTATAATTTTAAATAATTTAAAATCTTTGTACATCTTGAATATTAACTTTGGTTTTTGACTATAACTATAAAGTGTGTAATTGAAATACGATTTGCTTTCCTCTATCCATTAATCTCAAATAAGTTTAGCTTTAGTGTAATTTAATAAAAATATAAATTTAATTTAATTTAATTTAAACGTTTTATTTTGGTTATCCTGATTGCCATATGAGTAACAATTATCATCTGGAGCATCTCCATAATTTTTTAAAGCCAACGTTATAAGTTCAGTTCTGTTCTTTAAAGCAACGACCACAAATGCACCATTTGGTAGAATTTCGCATGTTGATATCTGTCCAGGTGGTTTATATACAGCCAAGGATTTACCTTATAACAAAAAAAAAATAAATAAAATTAGAAAGTTAATAAAGTTATAGTATTTTTATATCAAAATTGTAAAATTATTTTCAATAGTGTTTTGCTTAAGTTAAGAAAAAGGTGTTATTGTTTAGTTTTGGAGATATTGCAGTATATTTTGAGAATTATATTAGATAGAATGGATTTGGAACATTTTTTAAATCAAGTTTTTCCCATCAATTTTAGTAACGATATGAGTTATCCATCTAATTACTATTACTATTACTCACTAATGCGTCAATGTCTAACAAGATAGAATGGATCCAGAGTATTTTTGAAGTCAATTTTCTTCAATCAATTTTAGTACCGGAACTACTTTGCCCATTATTTCTTTATCCGAAATGAGTAGTCCACCTTAATACTTTATTCGCTAACACTTCAATGTTAGACAAGCTCCCAACATACATTTCTCGCCCTCAATGCATACATAATTCATCTAATAAAAGTATGAATCTAAAATTCTAAATGATATTTTAGAGATAATGTAAACTATTAAGAGAATACCAATTCACCTAATATTCCGATTAAAAAAAAGAATTTTTGTTTAAAATTACCAGAAATAGGCGAGTTACGTTCGAATTGGTTTAAAAAATTTCTATCTATGATTGCAAAAAACTAACTATAAAAACAGAGCAAACAAAACTTGTTTAGGGTGCTATAAAAAGCACTTTTAATTCACGTTTCACTAACCAAAGGAAATCTTTGTTCAAACTAAATATAACGATTTTATTGCTCTATTCTGTTTTGTATAGTCTTTCGTTTATCAGACAATCAAGGACCATTCTCAACAGGGAGTCAAATTGCTTAAATGTACCTGTTATGATATTTTCCTTGTAATTTTATCATATTCTAGCTTTTAAGATTTCTATATGGGCTAGAACAACAACAACAACCGTTACATTATAACATATTTTAAAAGGCATTCTCTGGTTACAGTGCACTTACCTGTATTTAGTTCCCAAACACGTATTGAATTATCTCGTCCCTCCTTGTCTCGCGATAAGAGCACTTTTCCTAATGGATCCAATTTCAAAAATGTTACTGGCGCATTATGACCAATTAATGTTGATCTACAATTTCCAGTCACAAGATCCCATATCAATATCTTTGCATCTTCCAGACCAGCAATAACACAGGCATTCACTTGACTAATAGCCAGAGAAACAGTATTACATGCTGGTTTCCATTTCTTGAATAGTGTACCACTTTGCAAATCATAAACAACAATGAAGTTCGGTGTTGGCTCATTGAGTTCCTTGGCAACAACGCATACATATGAACCCTCATAAGTGATTGCAGACAAAGAGGTTTGAAAATCGTGATGAGGAATGCGTAAGTCGTAAAGCAATTTTCTTTGTGTGAGATGCCATACTAAGAGTGGAAAAGGCTTCTGTGTTTCATCACCGCAAACCAAAATGCTAATGAATATATATATTTAATTTTTATAATTATATAACTTTAATAGCAAACATTTACCGTCCATCTCCGGATACCAATAGAGAATTTAAGAATCTATCCTCACCTGCCTTAAAGGTAGTAACGCAATCACCTGACTCTAGATTCATTAAATTTACATACATACGATTGCGGGAAAGGCAAACTAAATGGTTTTGATCATGAAGGCCAAAATAGGGCATTTTCTGATTCATTACACCTTTAAGTGTGACCTATTGTATATATTTAAAAATCAATTAATCAATTAAAGTAATAAATAAATTTTAATAATTTTAAATGCTTTTACTTTAAATCTTCCTTCATCCAAATTGATTACTCTTATTTCTCTCCTACACAGCACAGCCGCTTCATAAGTACCAACTGGACATAATGCCGTTGGTTGTGATATACCTTGTAATTCCCGTACTCTGGTACAGTTTTGTACATCCCATATGCAAACTTCCTCACGTTCGGTACTTATTGATGCTACATAATAACCTTTCTGTGGCAAATTGACCAAAACATCATAATTGCTGGTCATAGTTGGATCATCTTTTCCTAAAGACGAATTCAGCACTTCAAGGAAAGGTATTTCAATTTCATTTGTAAACTCTAGCCATGAACGAATTTTCTCATCATTCTTCAATGTTGGATCTTCTTTTACACGAGTTTTTAAGTAAAATTTAATAAGCGTATAAAATTGGTGGCCATCATAGCAAAGCTCATGCATATTGCTTTTAAGGAAATCTTTTAGAAAAGTGATATGAATGCAAGGCTGCTCTTCTATATTGGACATCCATTCGGACTCTAGAATATCATGCATTAAGTGTACCGGTCCAGTGGAATGCACTTTATCAGCGATCCATTGCAGATCAGTAAAATAAAAACAATTAAATAACATTTCAATTTTATTCGGAGCGGCGTTGTCCTCAATCAATGCACAAAAATGGTGATAAGGCAGTTTTAAAAACTTTTGGAAATTATAACTAGAAGATATAAAAGATTTGTTAAATTTTGCGGTACATATATGATATAAACGAATTGAGCATGTCTTACCTTGTAACGTTCCCCTGTGTAAATGTATTATCCTGTCTATCAAAGAAGTCACGTATAGTTTTATGTACCAGCCATCTCTTCTGTGAATACTTCTTTAAAACAGCATTACGAAATGTTTTGTCGGCTATTCTTATATTTTTTAAACTAATCAGCATAGGCCCCATAAGCCAACAAAATTTCGACCATATTTTAAAAGCGACCTGCGCCTCTATTTGTGCATGTTTCTGAAATATTCCTAAACAGTCACTTTCTCGTATGCCCCATTTTGAAAGAGATACAATCAATAGCATTAGCTCCACGTGTTCTGTTGAAAACTTCGTCTCAAGCACATGTAACATTTTTCCTAAAATGTCAGATACTTCAGTTATGGATATTGATAAGTGTCCCAGCCAAGCTAGCCACCACAATGATTTAGCTTGAAATGGTGTTTTGCCATGTAAGTTTTTCCAATCATTTGGCAACTTCAATGCACCATTTGCAGCATAAAAATCTCCACCACCTGAACTCAATATATCATTCCACTGTCTTTCTGTGAATTGTTTCAATTTCAAGAAGTTTCTATTTGGTATACCAAGTTCAGCTAGACTTTTAAGAGCTGTATTTTCTTCTTCCTTAACATTTTCGGTAATTGTTAATATTACTTTAGACATGCTATTGAGATTAGTAGGTAACCAATTAAAATTTTCTCCATGCAGTATATCATCCACTGAATCAATTATAATAACAAAGAAATATTTACTGCTCTCTAAGAAATCACGTATTACTTTGGCATAACTCTCCACATTCTGAAAGAAAATATTTTAGTATATTATGTATAAATAATAACAACAACAACAAAATATAAATGTATAAAAATATAAATAATTGATATAAAAATAATTAATAAGATTTGTGACAATCTAGTTTTAGTTATAGTTATATCTAGTTATATGTATAACAAAATATATGTATATTTTTAAGTTGAACTATATATAGGACAAGTACTAATACATAATATGCTTTAAATACGAATATATGGATTATATATATAGATTAAATATAAAAAAATATATAATATCATATATTACATATAATTATTACATTTTAAAATAAATATATAATAAAATTATTATAAATCGGTTAGGCTAGGTTGATTTGTATGGCTGCTAACCACCACACATTGACAGAGTGGGCCACAAATTGACTTAACTATATATATTTGGAAATAAGTACATTTTTTATTTATTTCAAAACATGCTTTTCTTTTCTTCCTCTGTCATATTCTTCTTTCAGTAAAGCGTAAGGGAATAGAATTAATGAATATTAAGCTGAGTTCCTTCATTTTACAATTTAGAGAACTTTCATTTTTGACATAAACCACTTTGATGTAAATTAAACATTTATATGTTCTTGGAGCCAACATAATTTTACGGACTATGCATTTTAGAAAAAAAAAATATTAGGTTTATTAATATAATATTATTTAAAACTTAACTATGTTATTTTAATAAATAATAAAAGCAATTATTTTTAAACTCATCGAATGCAGTTGGCGATCGATTCATTTTTAAATAGTGATATATCACTGTATGCAATATATAGCACTTGTCATACATAAATACATAAATTAGTCAATGAGATGGGTGGGACCCTGTAGTACCCCCAGCTATGAAAGAGTAAAAGTGCCCAGTTGTGCTGACTCGAAAAAAGGATCAACACATACATACTTAACCTCAGTTTATTAAATTGAACAGATTTGTTAAGAACAATATATTTTAAACAGTATTTACTACAGATTAAATTATAATTAAACACTTTTAAATAAAAAAGAATTGCATATCTGATTATTTAGTTTATATAGCAGCAATGAAATATGGTTGCCCGATGTTGGTTACATCGTCTGTACCCAACTTGTGTTCCCCACATCTATTTGCAAAAGTTTAATCGTCATTTATCAAAAACTGAACTGATAGTTAACATAAAAGGAACTGAAAACATAAATATAGACTGATGGATATTGTTAAGTCGATTTGTCTTTGTAGGGTCATCATTATAGGTAAATACAGCAACCACATTAATATTATGTTTCAATACTTCTTTCTATTATAAGGTAAAAAGTTTAAACTCTAAGAGTCTAATAGTTTTAGCTGACTCAGCTTCAAATTTGCAGTCTCAAAACATTATTGACGATAATTATGTATAATTAAATACAAGAATTATTTCCAAGACCACTGATGATGGATACTTGCCAATACTCGAAACAGCTGTATGGTCAGCCAAAAATGCAATTAATTAAAAAGAATTTCACTACTTTTCGAAAAACCTCTTTATCTAAGTTTTAGAAATTTTTGAACACATTTTGCAAGTTTTTTTTTTGTTTACGAAAATAATGAAAATTGTAATATTAATGCATATACTTAAAAAAAGCGATATAACACAATATGTATGTAATATTAAATATTAGAATATATTGAAAATGAATATATATAATAATTCAAAATATAGTAACTTAGCATTATATTAATATATATGTTAATAAGACAATAATATAATAATCTTATATAATACTAATAATTGATAATTGATAATTTTTATCAATTTTATATATTTATTACTATTACTTTTATATATTATACTTAATAATTATTTAATACAATATATCTTAATGAACTTACATGATCTGCTTTACATTGAACGCCATTATATAAAACTGACATTTGATCCGCTATTGATCCTAATAGTGTGGTTAAGTCTGCACTACGTGCGGTTAAATTACAATACCTGTAAATTTTAAGAAAATTGTACAGATTGCTATATCTACCTAACTGAGTACATTATATAAATATTACCTTAATATAAGTTGGGCTTCTGGTTTCCATCTATGTACATTTTCCATAAGCTTGGAGACTAGCACGCTTTTGCCGCAACCACTTGCACCGGATACTATCAGGGGAGACTGACTGTTGTCTTTTATATATCTATAATATTTCATATATATTTTATGTATTTAATAGAATAAAAACATTCTCAACAAAATGAATTACCTCTTCAAATCATTCATGATATCAAAATTTGCAGCATTTTGTGCTAAAATTTTAGAATACTGACCAATAAGATGTACTTCTTCTAGTAATATCTTATCTACACCATTTGTGTTATATGGTATACTATTTTTATTAAGATGTTCATCAAAAATTCCTGTAATAGACTTATCTAATAAATTCTCTATAACGGCGGTTAGTTCCTCATCTAAGATATTCATTGTAGGCAGTATGCGTATAAGATTTTTTTCAGAAAGATGTGATTTAAGTTCAGCATAGATTTTTGTGATGCGTCTCAAAATCTCAACGTCTAATTGTGTGGCATTTTCAGGTGTCTTGGAATACTGTGCACCAGTCTGTACCCATATACAACGTTTAGCCAATTCCTGACTCATTAGCACCGTGTTATTAATTTCTTGTTCAACAACGGTTGTCATATAAGAATCTTTTAGATCATCCGAGAATAAGCGCAATAGCACATTGAGCAGATTATTTAGTTCATCATTGACTTCTGTAGAATATGCATCGATTTGTTGTGTATGCAAACGATGACACATTGGTTGATAAGAATTATCTATGGTATACCATTTTTCTAAAAGTATTTTTTCTTCATCTGTAGCCGCAGTTAAAACCGATGTAAAATCTTGACTTTCAATTGTCAATGGCAACATCGGCATGCCTAATGATGAGCCTAAAAACAGTATGGGTATTATATATGATGTTGATGAATGCCTTGAGATTTCTGATAGACAATTTGCAGCTTCTTCATGTCCGCCTTGAGCTTCTAATGGGCTGTGCGTCCAGCGCTTAACCTCTAATAATTTTGTGAAATCTTTTTTCACTGCAGCATCGGTTTCATGCACATCCGAAATGATGAAATCAAAACCTCTACTTTGGCACTTACTCGTGAAGTGTTTCTGTAAGCTATATATGACTCGCTTATGCTTCTTATATTCTGGACTATTATCCGCTAAAATATAGATCACAATTTTCTTATCTCTTTCAATTTTGCGACTAGGCGGTGGTTTTCCTTGTAAGATTGCTAGATTATTAGGCGTCGATTTTTGACCTGAGATATCGGAGGGAGCTGTAGTAGCCAATGGCGTACTAGTTGTAGAATCTAAAAACATAAGATAAATAATTTTTATTGTTTATTTATCATTTTTTTGATTGAAATTAAATATACATAATTAATTAATTTACGATGACTTATTATACTTTTTTGGAAACTATATAGGTTTAAGATAAATATAGACGGTGCACTCTCTATATAGTAATCTTATACTTATAGATATAGGGTAATACAATAGATCTTTTGGTGCCATACTACAGATTTGCTTACCGTTAGTGGCGCATTTTTCTCCACTTTGATTTGCCTTTTTCGCATCAATATTTTTGGACGTTTCTTGTTCTTGTGAAACATCTGTGTTAGGTACTCGTATATCGGGCACAAATTCAGGATCAGCTAATGGTGCTAATTTTTCGTTATTTGCATCAGTCGATTTTTTACTGTCTTTTTTGTTATTAGTTGCTGCCTGATACGATGGAGTGCTAATAATAATATATATAGTTAGTTATATAATATCAAATTTTATACTTGTATATATTATAAATATACTCACTCATCTGATTTTTCTGATATGCTGTCTTTTTTCTTTTTTTGTCCTGAGCTGCATACATTACCCATGTTGATGAAGTTTCTGGAACAAGGCACAATAAGTAATTTATTATTTTCAAAAATATTAGAATGGTCATTCACAGAATTTAAATGAAGAGTATTTCAGAAGTATAAAATTATGAAATATCATAAACTCGTAGAAATTTTTTTAATGATCATGATTGTAAAATATTGGTTTTATGGAAAAAAATATATACAAGTAATTTTAAAGCTTTCTGATTCTCTCTCATAAAATTTATAGCAATATTATATTAAATTAATTAATTTGAAATTAAATTTTAATTAATTTTTATTTTAATGTTTATTGGTAATGAATATTTTGGACAAATGTTGTTAAAGTTATTATAATATGTAGTTTAATAAAATTAAATTTTGAATTTGTTTTTCGATCTGATTATCTTAATATTGTTTTTTTATACATATTGTTTTCAGCTATATTTTTATTATTATATTCTATATTTCGACTCTTCTTGGGAGTCATCATCAGGATAAAAACTAATTAGTAAACATTAATAAATATAAATAAAATATATATCAATTCGTCATGTTTTTGTTTCTGTTTTCCATATTGCAATATGGATATTATGGATAATGGATATTAAAAAATATTCAAGAAACGTTTAATTTTTAAAAAAGGTGACCTGTAGCCGGAAATATAATATTTAATAAAATTATTTGAACTACATCCTTTGTCTATTCTCTAATCACAAAAATAAACCTTTTGAGTCTTTGGATAAGCCAACTATATCTAGCAACATGATCATAGGAACATATTCATATATTTCGCTTTGTTAATTAAATTCACCACTATATATAATGTTAACATTCTACATAAATATATATTTATAATATATATTGAAGACTATAATTTCGTTCCAAATGTATTGTTTTCTTCAAGAGATATGACTTTGGTTTAAGTTTTAACATTGATCTACTTATACCAATTGCACCATGCGTTGCCTTACTAAACTGGAATAATTAAAAACCATTTCAAAGCTCTAATAAAGCCCACGATGCTCTTTAACGGAAGGTTATATGGATGACTAAGATTCTCCAGTAAGTAAGTCCCTAATATGATTAATATGCGTCACACTTGACAGTAATAAAGCTGTCCTTATATACACTCTCCTAACATGGTTTCTTGACCAACAGTGATCAGTAAGTATTAAAATAAGACCAAATAAATATTGTTATTTGATGTGAAGTCCATATTCTTAAAAAATTCTTAACATAGCATGCAATTTCTTGAAAGATTTAGAAGTATTTTAGCTTGTATTGTTTATTGTAACTTAGAGCTATGATTCAAAAAAAAAACTCTGATCGGTTAAATGAAAATTGTTGTGAATAGATTTGTTTTGAATTTTGATGACTTATTAAAACATATATATATCAATAAATTGCTTTTACTTTTATTAATAAAAATCTTACATAGTTTGACAATAATGACAAAAAATGTTCTTGTTAATTAGTGCAAAGAAATGCTGAAAAAATTTAGTGGTAAGGTAAGGTATAAGATAGATTTGTATAAAATAGTGCCAGGTAACAAATCATGGATCTTTGTGTATAAATCTCAAAACTAAACAGCAATTGATTATATTGGTGTTTCATGAGGAACCGAACTTAACAAATTTTGTTTGAGCTCGAAGCACTACGAAACAAATGGACATTAGATTCACTAAGTTTCAGTGGATTCATTCTCATTCACTAAGTTTGAGTATATCTTTATGACTACTTACAATGAATAACTCTAGGTCATAATACCCATGACTTCAATTTATATGTGTAAGCAAATTAACAAAATTAATTTTCAGGACCGTTATGTATACTATTGCTTTTCGAAAAGAAGGTTTATTTTTAGCGGCTACAGAAAATAAGAAAGTATAATATGATCTAAGATGCAAATAGCTAAAATACTTTCGTAAGGTAATGGCATTAGCTATTGTATGTTGTTGTTATAGTAACTATTTGTATGCTAGAAATCAATCACACAAAAACAGGACAAGAAGTACATAAAAAGGGAACTTGATAGGATACAAAACATGTATAAGAGGCTGTAGAGGAAAAATACACCACTGAAATAACTCTGTAATATTAAATGTAAAAAAAACGCACTGTTTAAACAGAGATAACTAAATCATAGAGATGTTCGAACGAGTATAAGATTCTTAATCAAAAATTTTTTGTTTTTTCGAACTAGAAAATTTCTAAGTGCTACTCAACAGCACTGATTTTGTAGAAAGGCATATACTGTTATTATTGTTTTGGTCTTTGTGGTCTAAATTTCAATTACCAAAATAAAAAAAAAATGAGTTACCGAAAACTCATTTACACTACCAATTGACAGGGAGCTCTTACATTGTGACCGAAAAGTTTCCGGTCATAAATAAATAAAACGCAAAATTCTTAATCTTCATCAATATTTATTTTATCTCCTTCAAAATATGCTCCATTAGAAGCGATACACAAATGCCAACGTTTCTTCCAATCATCAAAACATTTTTTATAGGCGCTTTCCGGTATGGCTTTGAGTTCCCTCTGCGAATTCTGTTTTACGTCTTCTATGGATTCAAAACGCGTTCCTCTGAGTGGTAATTTGAGGTTGGGAAACAGGAAAAAGTCACACGGTGCAAGATCAGGTGAATACGGTGGCTGTTCGATGGTATTTATTGAATGTTTGGCCTTAAAATCGTTGATAATGTTGAACAAATTGAGGTGAATCGGAACAAGCCGGGCGTTGACACGTCGCATACACAAATTGTCCACCAAAATCAAACGAGCCATCTCACGACCGATGCCTAGCTCTCGTGCTATCTCTCTAACACTCACATGAGGATTTTTGAACACGATTTCCTTTGCCTTTTCAATGTTTTCGTCGGTGGTAGAGGTCGAAGGTCGTCCAGAACGCGGCATGTCTTCGACGGTCGTACGACAGTCCTGAAAGGCTTTGTACCACTCATAAACTTGAGTTTTCGATAAAACTGATTCCCCATAAGCCTTTTGTAGCATTCGCAACGATTCTGCACACGAAATTTCGTTCGAAAAACAAAATTTGATGCAAACTCTTTGTTCAATATTTTTTTCCATTGTTTTTTTCGCAACGCACTACTGAGGTGAACTGGTTTCAACAGCTGCCGTAAACGAACTGTCTGACAGATCGCGCTCATTTTTGGCATAGTAATTAAGGACAGTGCTGCCAAACTACATAAACTTAAAATATCGAAAAATATACAGCGCGCGAATTTTAAATGAGAACCTCCGAAAACCTTTCGGTCACAATGTATGTGCAAATCTGCTAACAAGTTTTATATTTATTTTGTCTGTTCTGTTTCTATATAATATATGGTAGTTACTTTTAGTTAATGTTAATAAGCATACATTGTGCTACATTACAATGCATGTTATAAATAAATTTCTTTAGTTAAGAGCCTTCATTGCTGGGTGCATTTATAAGTCAATTTTTAACATGCAGAAAACTCTAGTTTTAATTTTTATATATCAACAAGTGGGACTTTCATATTGAACTCCTTAGTTTGTATATATATATATATGTATATTATTTTTCAAACACATCCTCGATTTATATATTTCGAATAGTATGTTATAAAAGATTTTCACATGATTATATTGATATAAGCTTAAATGATCATTTTAACAATTGATCATTTTAACAATTGATCATTTTAACATTCTAAGAATCTTACGTTCTATTACTTTATACTACAAATAGAATAATAACATACAAGGTGCATTTCATAGTATACAGAACTTTTGAATGATAGGTAGTACCTATTTGTGAATAGGCTGCGCAAACTTAATATATGGGCTATAAATATAACAAGAATAAGGTGCTTCCATTCTATTAAAGTTCAGGATAAATATTTATACATATATAATATATATTAATATATTTTATAAATATAATATATATTTGTAATGTTTGAAATTGTAAAATTTTGTCATATACCAAAAGAACACTGGTAATCAAGGCTCATCACTTTAATGTTAAATTCTTTTGTTTATTTATGTATTAATATTTTTTATTTAAGAAAAAAAATTACCTTTTATAAGTTATTTTCATAATAAACTATAAATAATTTATTTTTTACCTATCTACTCTGAAGATGGCCTACGAGATAGACCGAAATATCTTTATTATAAAAATTTTTTTTAAAATAATAATAAAAAATGTTGACATAAATTAATTAGTGTAATTTATGGATTTTCACCGGAAGTCAGTTGAAAATGAAAAAACTTATAATAAAATATAATTATAATATAATTTATATCTGTGATAACTTTCTTGAATCCAGTAATGTACTTATTGTAACATCCTTCTTAGTTTCGTTTTTATAAATCCATTATTTTAAAACTGATATTAAATTTCCATTTTCTTTAAATAAGTTTTTATTCTTTGTAGAAAAAAAAAATGTTCTTTCAGATATATAACAGTATAAGTAAAAGACAACTCTTTTTTTTATATGTACGTACATTTTAAAACTATGATATGCTAATTAGATGGCCTCGGAGTTCTCCGAGCCATCACATGAATTCGGTATTTTATTTAACACGGTTGTCATATTAGTTCTGTTGCTAACTACCGACCATACAACACAGATAATGACAGTAATTTCACTTTGTATAATATGAGAGAAGTAGAAGACCTCATAAACTTCTTGGCGGGCTATTCATTGTTTCAAGCACATGTACTGTCTTCAAGCACATGTACTGTCTTCAAGCACATGTACTGTTTTGCTGAATGGAACAAATGGGAATATCTCATAGCGTTACTAAAAGAGAAGCGGTAATCTAAGAAAGCAATTTTTGTGATATGTGATGACTATCGATAACTATATTTTTATTATATTTTTTTAGTTGAAAATTTTTTTTAAAACTATCTACTATCTATCTACTTTGATTATTTATTATAATTCTCAAAGACAGACATATTGTTGCCATTACATACCGTCTTATTATAATTTTCTTTTTCATTTTATACAATTTTAAGTAATAATTCAAAGTGTA